CCATGGCGCCTGGCGGGTAGGCAACCCGGATGCAGCCCTGCTCGACGGGACTGCCTACCCCGCCGTCGTAAGGGGCCATGGCGCCTGGCAACCCGGATGCAGCCCTGCTCGACGGAACTGGGGGCCATGGCGCCCGGCCTGAGGGCGGTGCACTGTATGACGTGATTTTGGACGATGTTCTCTGCGACCGCGGGCGCGCGCACTGCCGCTTCCCATGTCGTGTGTCTCGCACTGCGCAGTGCGTTCGTCGCTCTGTCTCTGTCGCACTCACGTTGCGTCCCGCCTGGGGTGCGAGAGAGACAGTGTGTTGTGGTTGCTGATCTAACGACCCGCCTTGTTTGTGTTCCAGGTGAGCCCGGCGTGCCCCACTTTACAGTGCCGACGGCCGGACCTCGGCCACCAGGCTTGCCACCAGGTGCACGCGGTGGTGAGTCTGTTTGAAAACGCCGCCCGCGTCAGGCCAGGCCGAGCCGCCCGGATTGTTTTTGTAAAGGGAGAGCTTCCCACCACCACCGCCTTGCCTCTTATCGGCACGGCGGACTGACTGCGAGAGTCGTTTGCGCACAGTGGGCCAGAAGACCGGTGGAGGCGGCCAAAACTCTAGACGCGTTTTGAGCTCCAGAGTCGCTAAGTGGGACTCGAACCGAACGAGTGACCCCACCAATGGATTGCCCTTCGAACGAGGAATCCATTGGTGGGGTCACACGTTCGGTTCGAGCCCTGTTTAGCGACTCTGGAGCTCAAAACGCGTCTAGAGTTTTGGCCGCCTCCACCGGTCTTCTGGCCCACTGTGTTGCGTCGCGCTGTCTCTCTCGCACTCATGGCTCCTTCCGTGCTGGTGCGAGAGAGACAGACAGGGAGTCAGTGTGCTGGTTGCGGCGTCGCCCAAGCCGGGCCAACGCGAAGCGCACCGCGAAGCCAGCGCCAGCGCGCGGCCGGAAGTGGCACTAAAGCCTGCCCTGATTAGGTAGCCGTGTCGGCGAAACGAACCAGCACACTGATTCTGAAGAGTCAGTTCGTCGCTCTGTCTCTGTCGCGGGGCATGTCGCTTTGCGGTGCGAGAGAGGCAGAACGACGAAACGCTTGGCGAGTGGCGGCGGCTCGCGGTGCGGGGGGCCGCCGAACAGATACATGCACTTTTTGAAAACTTCCTGCTGCGTTTTTAACTCCTGCGCTGCACGCGCTTCGGTCGTCCGCCTGGCCCGGCCGGCCGGCCTGGTCGAGGCGTTTCCTGCACTGTGAAAACGGGCGCTGTTCGCGGAACGCGCCGCTGCAACCCCCTGCTCTGCGTTGAAGCACCCCGCGCACGGCGGCCGCGTCGCGCCGCGTCGACGGCGTGCTCGGGGCGCGTTCCCCGGAATGGATGGCCGAGGTGGTGCAGTAGCGCTCGGTGTCGCAAGGCCGACGCAACGGCCCGCCGCCAGCCCGCCGCCAGCCCGCCACTGACATTGCAGTATTTATCATTTTGCTGGAACGCAACGACTCGAGGAAGCGTCGTCGTCGGCCTGCCCGTTTTCCCTTTCGCCTCGCCGGGGTCCGCCGTCTCTCTCGCACCCCTGCGGGACGCCCCTCGAGTGCGAGAGGGAGGGAGAGAGAAAGACGATGGCCGTGTTCGGAATCAGTCTAATGTTTGCCTTTTGGGCGGAGGGGTACTTCGCGGCTTTCGGCGCGGCACGGCCCCGCTCTGCGCACCACCACCGCGTCGTCGTCGTCGACGTCCCGGTGGCATTTTGGAGTGGCGGTCGCCATAATGTGGCCGTGGAAAGTGGGAAGCAGGCGAAGCAGGCCCTGCTCATCTGGGCCGGGCCGGGCCGACCGGGCCCGGTGGTGACAGTGTTTCTCACCGTCATTAGACATCGGTCTCGTAGAAAGGAGGCGCGCCGCCGCCGCTCGCTCCCGCGCAGCTCTTTGAATTTTTATTGCCCCACAGAGGTTCCCCTAAATTGTTTTTCATCCATTTTTGTTGTTGTTGTTGTTGTTGTTGTTGTTGTTGTTGTTGTTGTTGGCCTGGCTTGGGTTCGGCGGCGGGGCGTCCCCGGCCTCTTCTATCGTCATCGCCGTCCTTGCCCTTTCACAACCGGTGACGTTTTGCGACCCTGCTCCGCCCTGCGCCGCCACCCCACGGGTGGCAAAGGGTACTTCAATCTTAAAAAAATGGGAAAAAATGTCAGTGGAGTGGCTTAGACAATTACTTTGAAAATTAAAACCTGCGTGCTTGCCAAAGTACTGCTACACCATTAGCAAAACACTTATCAGAATAACTCGCTTTTAAAAGAAAATAAAGGGAGGAGCCACGTTTCTCGTGTTTCCGGTCGTTTCTCTCTCTCTCTCTCTCTCTCTCTCTCTCTCTCTCTCTCTCTCTCTCTCTCTCTCTCTCTCTCTCTCTCTCTCTCTCTCTCTCTCTCTCTCTCTCTTTCTTTCTTTCCCAAAAGGCGCCGCGCTGGCCGTCGTGTTCGCGCTTGGCGCCGGGAAAATGGTGGCCTGGCCGCCAATGAGGCGATGAGAGCGCGGGGCCGCGGGCAAGACCGCCCCTTCCGCGTGGTGCCTGCAAGCTGCCCGCCGACCTGGCCGACCGGCGGGCCAGGCCGACCTGGGAGGCGCGGTGCGGGAACAGGGAACAAGGACCGAAAGTACCTGTCGATGTTGGGATGTCGGCCAGTCGGTCCGACGACGTGTGAACCGGGCGGCCCGCGTGCTCCCCACAGCCGCCGTCCGTCTCTCTCGCACCCCTCCGGGCCTACGGGACGCCCCGCGAGTGCGACAGAGACGCGCAGCGGCGTCTCTTCGGCCTGCAGGGCGGCCGATATGTGTGCCAACAGTGACCGCTTTAATCTGCACGCGTGCGTGTGTGTGTGTGCGTGTGTTGTTTAAAGCGTAATTTGAGGGCGCTTGCGCTGCTTGCGCTGCTCACGCCGTGCTCCACGCGGGGGACGATTTGTTGAGGAGCGGCCTCGCTGTTGCGTTGCCATGGGGTTCATTCTTTTTATATTCGAACACGGCGTTGCGTGGCGCTCCGGAGCGCCGCTCGGAGCGCTGCGTGGCGCTCGGGTGTTTTGGATTGGCGTGCCGTACCGCGCGCTAGCCCCTCATTCACTTTACGACGTGGAATATGTGCGTACCCGCACACACACCAACACACTGCAGTGCAGTCCGGTAAAATTTATTTTGCAACAAGCTCACTTTCTCGACGTTCATTTTTCCTTCCGCCGCGGCAATTTCTCATGACGGTCGTCGTGGTGCTTCCCTTTACGGGCTGCAAGTGTGCCTCTGTGTGTGTGCGTGTTGCGCAACGGCCGCGACAAATGTAGCGATCAACACGAAGCGCCTTGTCGACACACTGTTTCCACGAGTGTGACGAGCCGGTCACACGGTTCGGCGAGTGTGACTGGCTGCCCGCGACCGCGCGACTGGGCCGCGTTGGGACGCACCGCGCGCTCGGCGTGCCATTAGCATGCCCCTCATGCAGCCCCGGAGCAACAGTGCGACATTCACGCAGTTGGTGCACGTCTCGACGAAGCTTCGCCTTGCACTCGCCGAGTGCTACAAACGACGGGGCGAGAAACAAACCGACTGAGGCGGTATGGCGGCGTGCAGGCGTCTTCGAAAAGGGAAATTTTAGACCCGGGGTCTCGGTGCGTAGGTGGCTGGCGCTCGGCCCGGTCCGTATCCCGGTACCGGTACTACCCACGGCGTCGGGGCGCGGCGGGGCTCGGCGGGGCGGGGCGGGCCCTCGGAGGAGTCGCTCGGGCGGCGAGGACGGCGACGGACGCCGGGGCACTTTCGCCTCGGGGCCTTGTAGCTTTGTATGATTCGAAAAATGGGTATTGACCGCTGGAAAAGTATGGGCGCGCCCCGTCTGTCTGTCTGTCTCTGTCCCTCCTCCGGCCCCGCCTCGCTTTCCCTCCTTGTCTTTGGTTTCCGCGGTGCGCGGCCCGGCGCGTGGACGTCCTTATGCAGGCCTCGGCGGCTCCAATCGCAACATTGAGATTGCCCGCCGGAGAGGCTATCTGTTTCGAGTGTAATTGGTAGCGCTCTGCCGTGATAAAACTCTGGCACACTGTCAAAAAGGAAGCAGGCGCCGGCGCGCAGCTGTCTGGGCGTGTGTACACTGCACTGCACGCGCAGCGGAGGGGGCAATTGGGAACCGCGGCCAGTTGCCACTTTGTCGTCTACTCGAGCTAGCGAGAGCTTAAGCTACACGAGTAATGTACGCTCTTTGAGGAACTTGTTGTTTTTTCGCGTCTTTTGTCGCTGGGCGTCTTCCTTTAGTTCGTGAATATATGGTCCTGTTGTGCGTTTACTTGTGCTCAGCATTCGTCTGACGTTCCGACACCCTTTGCGGCAACGCAAGGCGAATGGCGACCTCGTCTGAGCGAGGGAGGGTCTGAGGCCGCCTGGGGCGGGTACTCGAGGCACGGGTGTCGAGACGGATGAGGGTTACGACGCCAAGAGACGAGTCAGGCTGCGAAAGTACTCGGCGGGTGCAGGACAAGCAAGGCCAGAGGGCGCACGGACGGCCGACTGCCCTGGACCCATCCCGAGCCACGCTGTGCCACGCAGTGGGCCTTGCTTTGGAATGCCCGTCCGTGCTCCCCTCCTCCAAGCAAGCCAGCGGGCCAGCGCGGCGGTGCAGTAGCTCCATGCCGCGGCCGCCCCACCCCGCCCCGCCCCGGCCCCGGGCCCGTCCGCGCTGGGGCCTGGCGGCCTGGCGGCGGCTTGCTTGGCGGCGTGGCCAGGCAGTGTGAGTCAGAGCCGCGCCGGGCTCGCAGCGAGGACGCCGTGCCGCCGATCCCCGTCGATCCGCCCGGACTGCCGCGTGCGTGCGAGCGTCGGCCCCGCGCAGCCCGCTCCGTGACGCGTGTGTGTGCGCGTGCGGCGGGAGTGCGCGAGTGTGTGCGTGTGTGTGAGTGCGGCACCCGACCTGGATGTGCACCAGGGCGGCCTCGTTGGCGTGGACGCAGCAGCAGCACTAGGGCCCGGCGCATCGGTCCTCGCCCAGGTTCACGCCCGTCAGAATGCTGACGGCGGCGCGAGCCACTGCGGGACCCCCGGGACTGACGTCGACGTCGTCGTCCGGCGTGGCGCGCCGCGACCAGCCTCGCGACGTGCACGACTACGACCAGGGCATCGACCACGTGGACCTGGACCACTTGTTCCTGCTGCCGGTGCGCGTGCTGAGCATGGACAGCGCCAGCCTGCGCAAGGACCTCGCCGGCCTGGACTTCAACGTGCACCTCCTGCACAGCGGGCCGCAGGGCAACGTCTGGCTGTGTGAGTACAGTCCCGTGTCCTGGAACGCGAACCTCGCCGCCACTTGGTGTTGGGACTGTACTGCGATTGTCCGGGGCGTCCGAGGCGTCGATAAGCTTGGCGGTGTTGTTGTCCCCCAGGGCGCCTCTCTTGCCGTCGCCCTCGGGACACCGTCGGGACTCCGCCGGGACTCGGCCGGGCCGCTTGACTTATTTACAAGTCCATCGCGGCCGCTTCCTCTGACCGCGGACCGGGTCGGCCCTTGCGGGCGAGCGCGGCGACCTCTCGAGTCGAAATCGATTATTGATTGTCCGACAATCATCCGCTGTGCGGGCCGCGGTGCCGCGGTTCGGGGAGGCGAGGGGGCAGTGCACGAACATGTCGAGATGGTTATCGCGGTGGGTGCTCTGCTGACCTGCTCGGGCCGCCACTACTAAGTACTCGGTGTGTTGCCCGACCCGGGCCGGCCGGCTGGTTCCGAGTGGCGCTATCGTCGCTCTGTCTCTCTCGCTCTCACGGGGAGCCCCGCAGGAGAGCGAGAGAGACGAGACGAAGCAGTGCTCGGAACCGGCCGGCTGGCATACTCCGAACATCTGTGTTTGATTGCGGGGAAAACGAAAACCGGGCCGAATCGTGCGAAAGGGAGAACGGTCGTAGAATGCTGCGGTGTGAATCGAGGGAGATGCGCGCGCGCGCCCGTGGTTTTGGAGTCGACCGTTCGGGAAGGGGTCTTAGGAAATTAAGTGGATAAGTGACAACGCAGTGGCCTCTAACAAGGACGGATGAAAGCTGTCGGCGCGGGAATGAGGAAGTGGCCAACGAATACATTTTGTCCGCGATGCCGTATATCTCGTTCACGATGACGAATACGCAGCCCGCTCGCGGTGGCCTATCTGCAGCGCATTCGTGACACGGTCGCACAGAGTTGGCTCTGGGACTTCATTTCAGCAGCGAGGCGGGCCAGCGACCCCCCGCCGCGTCTTTGCGTGCCGAAAACTTTTCGCCAAGTTTTTAAGGCAGTTGTCTTATTTTATTTTTTTGCCCTGTGGTTGGTTGCTGACGACACGAGCCGGCAGCCAGTTATTGGTGTCAAACTCGACCGCGCGGGATCGAATCCCCGGCGAGTAAAAGTGAGAGTGCCCAGAGGGGCCGCGGGGAGCGCGGGGCGAGGGGCCGTGAGCTGTCTCGAGGATGTTATGGAAATGAAACGTTTTGTGTTAGCAGCCCTTCCCTTCCCCTGCGGCTCCCTGAGGCGCCCAGCCTCGCGTCCAGCGACCAACCGGCGTCCGGCGAAAAATCAAGTTTTCAGTCGGGCCGAAATGGAGCTGCAGACGGGCGGGGCGAGGCGGGGGATAGCAGCTTTCTTTGGCGTTTTCTGAATCGGGGAAACAAAACTCAGACGGATAAAAAATGGCCACAACTCTCTAATTACTGCGTCGCGCTGAATGTGTGAGTGTGAGTGATACCCCGGGTCTGGAATTCGATGACTTGAACTGATTGTGTGAGTGATACCCCGGGTCTGGAATTCGGTGACTTGAACTGATTGTGTGAGTGTGAGTGATACCCCGGGTCTGGAACTCGATGACTTGAACTGATTGTGTGAGTGTGAGTGATACCCCGGGTCTGGAACTCGATGACTTGAACTGATTGTGTGAGTGTGAGTGATACCCCGGGTCTGGAATTCAATGACCGAAAACGCAGCCGTCTGATCCGTGCCACATATATTTTAACTGCTCGACACTTCTGTCTTCACTTCAGTATTCCTGTCTTTCTGTACATTTAAATTTTTATTTTCCAAAATGTTATTTTGGCGCTTGTCGCGTCCCGTGACTGGGGCGTCGTCGCGTGCCGGCGGGCTCGTAACGGAGAGGCGGGACGGAGAGAAGTGATTGTGACACGGAGGAAGAGGGAGCGAGACGACAAAAAAACAAAAGCACAATACAGTGCTGTGTCTTTTTTTGTGTGTCTCTGCAACACTTACTGCAGTGTACTTGCTGCACGGTTTGCTCTAGCTGAAGCAGACTTGACGAGGGGATACTGTCCTCAGGTAGAGTGCTGCGGGAGTCTGTTGACAGAGAGAGAGAGAAAGAGAGAAAAGCTGGAGACGTACTACGCGTGTTTGCTTGGCTGTGCACTCGGCGGCCCCCTGCGTCGCCGCCACGCTGAGGCACTCCTTGGCCACGCCTGCAGCAGCCTGCAGCAGCGCTGATGGCCATCTCCCTCATCAACGCCGAGAAAACGCCCATTCCGCGCGTTTTCCTCGTCGCGCTTGATCCCGAGGGTCAGGCTGCGGGTCGCGTGGAGCCAGCCCACAGTGGGCCAGCAGACCGGTGACGGAGGAACGGAACTCTAGACGCGTTTTGAGCTCCAGAGTCGCTAAATGGGACTCGGACCGAAGGTGTGACCCCACCAATCGATTTCTCTCCGAATGAGGAATCCATTGGAGGGGTCTCAAGTTTGATTCAAGTCCTGTTAAGCTCAGAATGCGTCCAGAATTTTTTGCGCCTCCACCGGTCTTCTGGCCCACTGTGCAGCCTCGCCAGCCCCGCCGGCCCCGTGTGTGATGAAACCCGGTACACACTCGCCGATCGGAGTCTTTTATCTATTTAATGTTTTCGCCTCCCTGACTGCCCCCTCCCTTCTTTCTCCTCTCTCTCACACACACTGAGGCGTGTATCACACTCTTCAAAGAGAGTTATAGGGCGTTGTCCTCTCGGCTGCAGCCGGGTTCGGTCGACGGTATGCCGTGTCTGTGTGTTGTGGTGTGAGTGTGTGTGTGTGTGTGTGTGTGTGTGTGTGTGTGTGTGTGTGTGTGTGTGTGTGTGTGTGTGTGTGTGTGTGTGTGTGCAGGATGTGTTCTTCTTTGCCTCCAAACGGGACGAAAAGAGATACCACTCGTTCAAGTCAGACGCTTTTTCACCTTTTTCTTCCTCTTCTTGACCCTTTTTATAATTGCTGCGCACACACAGACGCTAACGCGCTGCGTGTTTGCCTAAGTGTGTGCGTGTGTGCGTGTGCCTCAATTAGAAGCAGCCCGGAGGGCGTGGCGCTCCTCCTCTGCATGGACTCCGCGCCGATCCCCGTGGAGATGGAGAAGAGCCAGACGCAGGCTGCGCGCCGCGGCGGTCCGGGTTGGGCGGGTCAGGACGCTTTACGATGCTGTTGGGATAGGCGGCGCGGCGCGGTGTTTGCCGAGGGACGCTCTTATAGAGCCGTTACGCATCTTTGTTTGTGTAATGAGCAATCACGGGCCGGATTGGCGGAGAGGTGCACCGAGGTGGCGCCTCGCCGTGCCGTGCCGTGGCGTGCCGTGCCGTGGCGTGCCTCGCCGCGACGGCACTCTATCGCGCCGCATCGCCTCGTTGTCCACGCCGCGCCACGCCACGTAGAAAGCGAAGGGCCGCGCGGAAGTAAGAGTCGCCAAATGGACTCGTCGTTATAAGGGGAGTCGGGGCGAGGCGCCGTGGCCGTGCTGGCCGTGCCGCCGCGGTGAGTCGATTACAATATTATGTTTATCGGATGGAATGGATTCGGTTTACTTTGGCAGGCGCGCGCGCGGTTTCTCGCAGTTCCCCGTCGGTCGCCCCGGGGCTCTGGCCCTCCGCCGTCTCTCTCGCACCCCTCTCTCTGTCGCACTCGTACGCGACGCCCCGTGACGCCCTGCTGGCTGCCGAAGTCGGCCGCACCCGTCGTCGACTGCTTTTGACGTCGGTGCACTACAGATATGCGCCACGCTGCATACCGTCCGAGCATTCGCGCAATTACACACACACACACACACACACACACACACCACACACACACACACACACAGCGGCAGGCTTCCCGATACGGCCGTGTTGGCGGCGCCACTGCCGCCACCGCGACTCCTTTGTGACGACATTCTTCCAGTGCAGCGGCGCTGCTCGGCAGCAGACGTACTTGATTCCGAGAGCCGTTTTTGTATAGCTCTGTCTCTGTCGCTCCCTCGGGTCGTCCCGCACGGGTGCGAGAGAGACGGGGTGCCCGCTGTGCTCCCGAATGGTTATGCTATTGCGACTTTCTAGTGGCGGCGATTAGCCATGCGGCGCCCCTTTTCACACGGCGCACTTACAGTGCAGTCGCTTCGAGTCACTTGCAGTGCCGCGGCAGTCGGTATCGGTCGGTCACGTTCGTTAGTGCCTGTCCCCGCCGCGGCGCCACCTGTCGCTCCGTCTCTCTCGCGCCCTCGACGAGGGTGCCTATCCCGAGAGAGAGAGAGAGAGAGAGAGAGAGAGAGAGAGAGAGAGAGAGGAGACGAGGCAGCCACCTGCGCTTCGTGCGGCTGACGGCCGCGAGGCTAGGCAGGCTAGGCTAAACGCCCGCCGCTATCGGTCGCGCGGCCGTCGGACGGACGGACGGACCGACGGACGTGTCGTGAGACGTGTCCGTGTCGTGACGCTTGCAAATTCAGATCGCCGCGCCGTTTGCTCGCCGTTTCGTCGCTCTGTCGCAGTCGCACTCGAGAGAGAGAGAGAGAGAGAGAGAGAGAGAGAGAGAGAGAGAGAGAGAGAGAGAGAGAGAGAGAGAGAGAGCGACGACTCTTGGGATTATTGGCTCGGCAGTGGGGCGACCTGTATCGGACGAGGTGCAAGTTTGCCGTGTTTTGTCTGGGTGGCTCCGTCGCGTTCAGGGCGGCGTTCGCGGTCGTCCCTCCCCGCACGCGGCACGCGGCACGCGCGAGGCGTCGAAATGCGCACTTTGTTCGAGACTCGCAGCTGCACCCGCGTTGCCGCGCGTTGCGTACTCCAGCAGACAATGGACGACCTCCCAGGAGCGGATGGCCTGGAGGCTGCGCCGGGCTGCGCGCGGGCCCTCTGCTGGAGGCGCTGGAGACGCTGCAGGCTCGCTCCGTCCCCCTCGCACCGCGCAGGGCGTCACGCGAGTGCGACAGAGACGGAGCGACTCGTTTGAATCGGGCTGGCTGCTGCTGCTGCACGGTGCCGGCGCACAGTGGGCCAGAAGCCGGTGGAGGCGGCCAAAACTCTAGAAGCGTTTTGAGC